TAATAAAAAAGTATGTTGCTATTTCTTGCATTTACAATGTCCTTACCAAGAACAAGATTTCCAAGTGTATCCATAGTTGCAGTCATTGAAATGGATGAAGTTTCAGCTCCAGAATCAAGATTATTAGGTTGCAAAATTGCATCTTGATGACCAATGTAGCCTACCTCCATTAAACCATGGTTTAATTTAAAGGAATTAAAATTCTCTATCACCAATAGGTGACCCTGTTAACCCAAAAAAAAAAAAAAAATTAAATCAATCTTTCAGCTTGAATGTTATTTACTTTTCCAAGATTTTGGAAACCTTGATATGGACACATATAACTTGTTATAAAGATCAAAATTTTATAAAAAAAAAGTGGACCTTTCGAGGCTTTACAGGGATATTTAATTTAATATCTGAATCCCTTATGAGGTCTTGCATCAAAGACCCTGTCCAGCATCCAGTGGAAATTACTATGGCTTTCTTGCTATACAATGAATATTTTGGAGTCTGAACAGCTTCAACCTCCCCATTGCCAGACCTAAAAAGATGAATCATCTATAAAAAAGACATCTTTACCCCTTCAAAAAAATGAGCTTTGTAACTTAACTTCAGCAAAAATATATAGTGTGTTACCTTAATAAACCAGTTACTGGCTGATTGTAATACTCCCCATATCTTCCTTCAGTTGCATACTTTCTGTTCTCCTGTGTGATATTTTCAGTGATTCTTTTAGTAATTGAATTGTATTACACATTTGTTGAGGAACAGTTAACTTAAAATGTTTTGTTTCTTTTTTGGACTGAATGAATTGTTTGAATAAAAGAAATGACCAATTTACCCTCTGTGAAGAAGTGATGCTTACCTTTTCTATATATGCAACTGAACGCCGAGCATCAAGTTGGTAATCATTGGGTAGAAAGGTGGCCCCACCTTCTTCTCCAACTACAAGAACAGGTTCAATTTCCTTCAAATCAATGGTAGACAAGAGCTCTGCCTTGAGTCCAGCTTTAGATAGCTGATCTACCTTCTCTTTCAATACTGCCATTTCACCTGAGGTTTTACCAACCAACAAGCTTCCTGTTTGTGTGTATACCAATCTATTAATATTGTGTTAATATAGAGGGGAAGTGTTCGAGTTTGACAGTTTGTCAAATGTCTTAAATACCCTTTGAAAATGAGAAGATAGGGGAGTGTTTGGGTTAGTGTACCTGTCTTCTTCCAGCCAAGAACTTCTTGAGGATCCATTCCTTGATACTTTATATCCTCTGCAAACTTCTCCCATAGTTCACGGCTTCTCATTGCTAGCTCCCATTTCTCACTTCCTGGAACCTTATGCACCATCCATATATAGCCCTGTCCTAAAGCCAATGCAAATGCCAATTGCAATGGTGATGAGATCATAATATGAATCATGGTTTAGGAAGAAAAATTATGGCGAATGTTGTTATTTCCACAAGCACATAAAATTGAAGTATTCTTTCTTCTTATAAGGTCCATTAGTACCAAAGTATTATAAATGCTTTAGTAAATAGCAACCCAAGTTCATCACCATCATTACTGGTTATTTAAATCCAATATGCAACAACAGTGGGATTGGAATTCGAGAAAGTGGCATCAAATTTGCATAGAAGCTTTTGGAAGCAATTAGCTCTTTGATGCTGAGATGTTAGTATAAGCTATAATCGAGGTAATTAAACTCTGGTTCGTTTCTTTATAATCTGTTAACGTTTAGGATTGGTATGTTCTTATAACGATGAATTTCAAACTGTTATCAGATCTCATACAGAAGAAAATGCTTTAATTCAAAAAATTTAACTCATTCCAAGCTCAATAAGTTGGCAGTAACAGAAAGCAGCAAACGGATGTATATAATCAACAGTGCTTAAAACGATATAAACTAGACTAACAGATCACGGAGGGGTTAATCAGTTAATGCACCTGCACCAGTAGCGCCGGAACAAGGTACGGCGGCGTCAACCACGGCGACGGACAAATGCGAACCAATGAGAAGCTGCCGGGCGATACTCAATCCAATTATTCCAGCGCCAACTACGACGACGTCATACGAGTGCGAAGCAGGAGATATTGACGACATTCGGACGGCGGCTACTTTGTTTCTCCTGTTTTTCTCAGATGACGTTAACTTCGTGAGAAAATTGAAGCCGGAGGGACTTGAATTGATAGCAACACGACGGAGCAACTGCCTCCGAGGGGAGACGAAGATACCGTCGATTAAGCGGTCAGGGTTTGGTGAAATCGAAAGTGAAAGAGACGCCATTCTTTAAGCTTTTTGTTTGCTACTTGCTAATTGTTTATTCCGGTAGGCTTGACTATATGCTGATTGGGAAGATGCTTCCTCCGGTTTCACGTCCGGTAGTGCAACAACGATCTATTTTTCAATAGGGATTGACAGTGGCGAAAAGTGGCGAAACTTGTAGATGATGTCAGCTTATTCATTGTACAGTACAACGTTAAATGGATGTCTAGTCGGACATTTTTTCGGTTTCAAATTTAATTCGGGAGAATTGACTTTAATATATTTTTTGATTTATATATATATTTGGTTATTAGTTTTTTTTTTTATATTTATTTTTTCAACTTGTTAAACTTTTTTTTATATTTAAACTTTACACATTCAGTCATTATGATCCGTTACTCCAAATTAGCTGGGAAAAATAACTTAATAGGGTAATATATTTCTTATTTTTTACACATTTAGTCCTTAATATTTTTTTGTTGCAAAATAAGTCATTTTTGTTTTTGTACACATTAGTACTTATGATTAATTTTTTTGGATTTTTCTCACGACATCATAGGTGGGACAATCATTAATGAAGCGTTTGGGGTTATTGATGCTTATGTTCATCGTAGTCTCAACTGTTTTGTTGCTTAGGTCTTGTGGTTTGATTTAGGTCTTGTGTTCTGAATGTCGTAACTTCTTCATACGATCTCGGATTTTAACGATCTTTATATACATACATTCGTATTTTCATTAAGATTATTCCCATTAAAAAATAATATATTTTTACTTATAATCTTTATATCCATTCGTTTTTTTTATAAATGCATATATGAATGCTTTTTTTATAAAATCGTAAGTAAAAATATATTACATATTAGTGAGAGTAAGTTCAACGAAAATTGTAGTAGACTCAAAAAACGAACACGTGGATATAAAGATCGTTAAAATCCGATATCATATGAAAAAGTTACGACGTTTAGAACACAAAACCTAAGCTAAACCACAAGATCTAAGCAACCAAGCAGTCGAGATCGCGATGGATATAAGCATCAACAGCCCCAAACACCTCGTTAATGATTGCCTCACTTAAAATGTCGTGAGAAAAACCTAAAGAAATCATGCGAATACAAAAACAAAACAGAACTTATTTTGCATCAAAAAAATATATTAAGGATTAAATGTGCAAAAAAAAACTCAGGGACCAAAAGTGTAAAAATCGAATGTGTACAGTTTAAGGAATGAATGTGTACAGTTTAACACGTTGGAGGGGTAAATATAGACGACAAAACTCAGTGACCAAAATTGTAAAAATCGAAAAATATATTACCTTTTTAAGTCATTATTCCTTTAATTTAACAATTATATTTGTATACATGTCATTTCTTAGTCTTCGGATCAAATTAAAACTGAATTCTAGCCTTAAAATTCATTATTTTATGGTTATCTCACCTTAAATTTTGACCTTTATAATTCACTATTTTCTACGTGTTAACTTATGTGTAAACGATGGGGGCATTCGGATAAGAAACTCGTCGGGTATCGGGTATGATCGTATGAGTACATTTTTTAGTTTCGGATGTTAGTATGGTATATCATGTCTTACTATTGCCACTCCTAATAATGATTGTCAGAATTATTTACTCTAAATTAGTTAACTTTAGGTATTTTCACTATGATTAGATTGAAGGCCTATGAATGATATGTAGAGGATAGTGAGGATATTTTGAAGGTCACAGTTTGTGTGGTAACATTTGAACTTTGAAGTATGTTATGATATTGAATTGCCACAACCTCGTTCTTTAAGACTAATAACTTTTCTTTTGGTATTTGGGGCCATTATTTTGTAATTTTTAAACTAAAAACTTTTTGATATAAAATCAACTAATTTTATAAAGTCTTTTAAAGCCTAGTCAGAGGTGTTTCATCATTTTCTCTAATATATTATCGCCTCCTAAAAAGTAATCACTTTCAATTTTTTAGAAACGCCTCTCTCTCTCTTTCTCTCTCTCTCTCGTAATAGTCCGACTCTTATCTCTCTTTATATTTCTTTATACATCTATGTATGTTTGCAAATAGTTTGAATTTGAGTGGAAACTACACAACCAAAGTCGTCAAATCTAGAATGGGTGTTAGGGATATAGTGTTTAGAGGTGTTGAAGAGCTTAAATTAGGCCTACTAATTAATTTAATAATAATAATAATAATAATTCTAAAAAAAGAAAAAAACAAAAGGCATTTGTTTTATTCCATATGTCCTTAAATGGAATGACAATAACCATAACTAGCATAAAGACCAAAGCTAATAGATTTGTGATGATAAGTGGTTTAAAATTTTCAAAACTATGATCAAACATGTAACGGTGGTTGTCGGGTCCAACAAATTAAATAACCCTAAATCTTGTACACTAAAATAGTGTATATTGGTAAAGGGATCGTATCCACGGAGATTGGTTCAATTTATAACTCTACGAAAATCTCTTTGTAAAAATACTTGTAAAATGACAATAAAAGTAAAAATAGGGGTTTTGGTCTTTTGAAATACTTTGAAAGAAATTTAGAGTTAAACTAAGATTTAAGCAAACAATTCAATAAAAGCAAAAGTTTTGGTGTAAAATCAATAAGAGAAAGATGGTTGACTTAAGGTTTCCTTACTTGAACATTTGATGAACATATCATTAGAATCCAAGGTGCAATACTTGTTTTAAATCTCTAATTTGGCTATAGTAATCCAAGAAGTAGGGATGAGCATCGGAACTAACCCAGCCCGAGCCGACCCGAACCGGAACCGGCCTAGGAACCGAACTTGGTGGAAAATAGGAACCGAACTGGACCATCGGTTCTACCGGTTCCGGTTCCTACCGGTTCTTGTCGGGTCTTCAATGTTGGAGCTGGTTCTCGAGAAATAGCAACATATTTTAAGAAATATTTTGGTTACGGTTTTGGTTTTTGCCGGTTCCCGGTTCCAAAAATCCACAAGAATATCGTCCCGGTCCCGGCCCGATCGGTTTTATCCGGTTTCTGTTCCGGTCGGTTCCCCGGTCTAAATGCTCATCCCTACCAAGAAGCTTGAGATTACTCATACTTTTCTTAGTTATTAAAATAGTTAGAGAAGCTCATAACATATTTCCTTAGTTAAAGTCACAATTTCCATTAAGCATGTAATTAGTGAAAATTAACTAGCATTAAGAACCAAAAAGTCATCAAATCCAAGAGGAGTCAAATGTTTTCACTACCATGTTGGAGAAAATGTTTTTGTGATTGTGTGAAGTGAAAACTAACACAAGAATCACTTGTTGCTTGAAATTTGAGGATCCATTACTTAATCAAGAAATTAGCCAACTAATCACTACAAATAAATTTAAACTCATGAATAAAAACATACAAGTAGCAAGAAGATGTTAAAATATAAAACATTCTTATAAAGATTTAAGAACAAGTTCATGGAGTTCTTCAACATTCAACCAAATATTCAAGTGATTTCACCAAAGTCAACCAAGATTAGTTTAGCCTAGCATGACTAAACTCAAGAAAACAAAGTAAAAGTTTAGAGTACCAAACATTTAGCAAGAATCAAGAGCAAAAAGATGATATTTTGATGTTCATCAAGAGATCCAAGACCTCCAAAAACTCTAGAGAATACTCCAATTTTCGGATGTGAAGAAGTGTGGAAAAGTTGCACACCAACCTTCCCCATTTAGCACCAAAGACAAATTTCTGAAGCTGCCCCTGGTTGTCCGTGCGCGGGTCGCGCAGCACTACGCGGGTGCCTTGCGCAGGTGGCTCCTGATGTGGGCTAATTTGAATTTTGGGCCTCCAAAGCTTAGCCCACTAGCCTAGATCGAGTCCAATCAGCTCCTAACCCATTTTTCTTCAAGTTTTCTTCAATTTAAGCCTGATTTGGCTTCTCCAGATCACCCATAGCTCACGTATTCGCCCGATCAATAATCTCCACATGCTCGAATATTCTTTCGTTTTCTTCTAAATTAAAAGTCCATTCGCTTCAAGCCTTCCAAAAAAATCAACAAGCCCACGATTTGTGAAACATCCCAAAAATCATGACCAAAAGTTTCGTTTTTAAACCATTAAAAAAACCATAGTTATTAAAATCATTTCCTCAAAAACACAAGTCATAGCATTCCAAACATCAATAAGAGTATCATATCAAAACATCAGAGTAAACATCCCAGGCTAAACATAATGGTGTATGTGATGCAGTCATCCCGAGCTCTTCTCCTTGCCTCTAGAAGTACCTGAAACCAAAACTGTAAACCGTAAGCACGAAGCTTAGTGAGTTCCCCATACTACATCATACCATACACATAACCACATATACTGGGCCCCCACCCCTACATCGGGCCCCGCCCGGCATCGAACTCTATCCGGCATCGGGCCCCGCTCGACATCAGGCCCCGCCTGGCATCAAGCCCCGCTCAGTATACAGATATGTTTCTCTTAGGCCCCATCTGTCTCTGGGCCTCGCCCGCTATACATATACAACAATCTCACGTAATCATACTAGCACATAAAGAAACATACTTTAGATGTATTTCATGTCCTAAGGCCTCGCATATCTTTGGCCCCGCCCCTGTCCTGCTACTGATGAGTCATGGAACCCCGTCCACACTCCTGTTGGTAGTGAGATACGGGCCCCCGCCCACACTCACTTATCTCCTCTCACAGGCCCCGCCCCTACTCTGCTAATGATAAGATATAGAACCCCATCCATACTCAGCTAGTGATGAGATATGGGACCTCTCCCACACTCACCTCCCTACCAGGCACATATAAGTATCACACAGACAACAAGTATAATCTAACATGCAAACATTTCTCGGGCTTGCCCCGACATCGAACCTTAGTCAGGAATAACATACATATAAACCTTCCTCGGGCCTACCCCGGCATCGGACCGAAGTCCGGAAGCATATAACATAACTAATTCCAAGGGATAACCCCCGAGTCTTCCTACCATACATAAACTAAATGGGCCGGCATTGTGGTCGTAGACCCATGCAAACAGTGAGGAGACTCACCTTGCATTGTTGAAGTCCTGCAGATAATCCTCTGGCTGCTAACTGGCAAATCCCCGAACTGCTGATCTCCTGACTTCCCGAGCTATCATTACCAACATAATACTTAGTCAAAATCCCATATTCCCTTAGATATCATTCCTTTCTCAAGACCCCTTCACGGATCAAACTTGGTCATTGTCA